GTACCTCTTGGAGATTGATTTATTAAATGTACTCAGTTGAGTCATGGAGGACAGCGGGTTGAAGTTTCATGATTGTTTTTTTTTTAAAAAAGCAGAAGCACGGGTTGGTGTCAGTTCCCATAAAAATGAGGAATCGGCGAACTTACTTCTTGTTCCTGTGGTTCTAACCCTTGAAAAATGTTTTTTTCCCCCTTTCTTAAAAAGGATGAGAAGCTCACTGTTAACCAAGATCTTCCAGTGCACGATGGGAAACCACATATTGTCCACTTCCAGTACAAAGTTACGGAAGTAAAGATCTCCTCTTGGGATGCAGTGCTATCCAATCAGAGTCTTTTTGTGGAAATTCCTGATGGCTTATTAGCTGATGGGAGCAAAGAAGGGTAAGATATGCACAAGTCTCCCAAAGATTATACCCCAAGGAACATAGTCACCAGTAGGAACAGGTTGTGCGCTCCTGACTTCTACAAATTGCTGGGCATAGATTTATCTCTCTTTAAGCTCCTGGTATTTTGAAGATGGTGTGTGTGTGTTTGTTTGTGTGTGTGTGTGTGAGAGAGAGAGAGACAGAGAGCGAAAGAGACAGAGAGAAACAGAAAGAGAGAGAGATAGAAAGAGAGTCACAGAGAGAAAGAGAGAGGGAGGGAGGGAGGGAGAAGCATCATCCTGCCCATGCATACTGATTTGCGATCCAAAGAAGCTCATGCTGTTAACATTTTCCCTTTGGGTTAAGCTGGCTTGAGTCTTCCATTTATAAAAATGCTTCAGCCAGTTTATTCTTTCCTTTTGCCATAATTCTTTGGTTCCCTGCGTTTCCCCTGTCAAAATGCTTTAAGTACAATTGCATAACTGATTAATTACAGCCAGCTAAAATAAGCAGCTTGGAAGATATAATTAAAATGGATGTTAACCAAATCCCTTCTAAGTTAAAATCGCTGCTGCTTTCCGCCTCCGATTAAAACCTGGTTGATCCGCTACTTGCTTGATCAGTAGGCGAGATATCCTCAGCCAAGCAAGAAGAGCAATTTTTATAAGGCTATTTAAATAGGTAACTCAAAAACCATCTGCAATGTGACACTATTCCCTAGCCCATGCAGTACAGAGGATTGTTACAGCTTAATATTTGTTTATAACTCTAGCTGCAAAAAAAAAAAAAAAGAAGTTATGCATAGCCCACTGCCTACAAGTTGGATGCAGCTTGCAGAAATTGGTCTGAAGTACCAGACCACCAGGCCTCCCCCAGCACACAGCTTCCATAGGAAGTCTCTTATGATAACAGTCTCCTGGTGTTCAAATAAAATTCGTTAATTTTTCAGACCTCAGTGCTTGAAATGCTTCCTGCCTGAGCAGGGGGTTGGGACTAGAAGACCTTTAACTCTGCTCGTGTTATTTTGTCCCCACTTCCTTTGTTTTGCACTGCTGTGCAAATAACCACTCATGCTTGGTTGGTGTCTTGACCACCTTCCGTTTCCCTCCCCAAATTCTGCGCAGCCGGTTTTCCTCCGCATGCTTTCTTGCCCAACGTAATGCTGGGGGGAATGAGCTGAGTGTAATCTTCTGTTTTCTCCCCACCTGCCAGATTATTAGCGCTGTTAGAATTTGCTGAAGAGAAAATGAAAGCAAGTTATGTCTTCATTTGCTTTCGAAAAAGCAGAGAAGACAGAGGTAAGTGCTTAGAACCTGCTTCATTCAGAACACTTTGTGGGTGTGGCATTTCCCCTTCCAGTTGAGTAATGACCCAGGTATAATTGCTACCAACAGATACCTTAAATTGCTGGCACAATTTTTTCTCTTCCCCGTAAATTTCTGAGATCGAGTTGGATTTCCAGGTCGGAATATCTGCTGAATGACAAGAACAAGCAGTGTTCCGCGGGCTTGAGATGCTGTCGTGTGGTTTAGGCCATTTGCAGCTTTCACCACGAGCAGAGCAAACTCACTTTTGTTCAGAATACGACTTGGAGGAATTGATGGAGTGGACAGCAGACAGGCAGTCCTTGACTTACAACAGCTCCTTTAGTGACCGTTCGAAGTTATAGCGGTGTTAAAAGTGACTGAGGACCGTTTTTCAGACGTTAACGACTGTTGCAGCCTCCCTGTGGTCCCGTGATCAAAATCCAGCCACTCGGCAGGCTGGTTTCAGAAACCTCAGCAGAATGGAACCATACAGCGATGCCCGATGTATACAGAAATCCAGGGCATTTGCTTTAGGTCCACATGCCTTGAAGTCCACATGCCTTAAAATTGTCAAGTTTGGGAAACACTGCTTTAGGTATAAAACCGGCCCATGTGTTGTTGATCTGATTGTGTTCCTTTTCTTCTTTGCAGCTCCGTTACTGAAGACATTCAGTTTTCTGGGTTTTGAAATTGTGAGGCCTGGTCATCCTTGTGTCCCATCGCGGCCAGATGTGTTGTTCATGGTGTACCCCCTGGATCAGGTCTCTTCTGACGACGATGACGACGATGACGATTAGACCTAGTGCAGCGTTTCAGTGGGGCCTGGACATGCGTCGAGCACGAGGGGGGGCTGAAATGCCTCTTCTGAGGAAAGGGAAAACAAAATTTTTCTGGACTGAAACTGCATTTCTTATTGTTAGAGTGACCTGTATATCTTCTGAGTTGACTTTTCCATTGAAATGTGTTACCTAGCGAATAATATAAAGTCTGCACATGTAATTGCACAATAGTAAATGGAAGGTAAATGGAGCTCTGAGGGGGCCCCTGCTGTTAAAGCCTAGTGAAGACATCCTGTCCAGCCACACGGTGGCTAAGGAGCCCACAGACAGAGAGAGGGGGGGGGGGAAAGCCTCAATTACTCGTTACATACATGTTGGGCTACCTATTAGTTTGGGTATTTGGCTTTCATTTTAAATGCATATTTATAGGTTCACTCAGACTCTTAAGCAGGGGGGGATGTTTTGAGCGTGGAAATATGAGGAATGGTAGCTTTTTTTTTTTTTTTTTTTGCAAATAGATGATTTGCACCACTGGGTTAATCCATATTCTGGGGTGCTGACAAACTCTATCCTCTTTCCGGCTTTTATTAGGTTAGCATTAACTCTAGCGCTGCTTCATTTAGAAGGGGAGGGGGAGTGAACGGAAGGTGTGAAGCTGTCCTTGCTTCCGAAGGGCATCGCCATTCCTTTCGAGAGGATCAGGGCAGTCTTTGTGTTCTACTGTGGAATTGGAGAAAGAACCAAGTCAAACGAAGCTTTCCCTTCCTTTGGAAGAATGTCTGGCCCACACCGAAGTCTGTGGATTCTGGAATCGTGACTGGCACCTTGATTCGTCCCTTGATTAGGATTCAGTCCTGCGCATCTTCAAAATGCATTTGGAAACTTTTACCTAAAAGTAGTTCTTGTAGTTGACATTTCGTGTCCCCATCCTTCCCTTCAAAATGCCCTCTTGGAATAGGAGATGATTGCTATCATGCTTACTTTTCCTTAAAACAGCCAGTTCCTTCAAACGTCATTCACAATATACAATTCTAAAACGGTTCTTGTCTATTTACTTGTGTTACCCAACGCACTTTTCACTTCTCAGGCATTTATCTTGTGCAAAGTGGGAGCCATCTGGCTATCACAGAAGGGAAACTCTTAAAAAACCTAGGGGTGAACGATAAGCTGCCTCTTTGCAGGAAATTCTACTTAGTATTCCGTTATCGTCTGGGAGGGTCTTGATTTGCCTCACTGCTTTTTAGGGCAGCAAAAAGCAGTTATTTTTCAGGCTTGCCGGTTGGAGGGGGGAGTATGTCTTTGGCCGGTTTTAGGGGAGGGAACAATATATAATTGATATGGGGATAAAACAAAACTATCTGTACCCTCTCAATTTTTGCTTGTAAAAGGCTGGATCTCGCAACTATAGGCTTTAATATTAGCCAAAACCTGAAAATTTATTGGAGTAACGTATTGATAAGGGAAGGAAAAATAGATAATAGAATAGGTAGGCAATGGAAGATATTCCTCCATAGAGGTCAGGGGTAGGCAACCTTGGCTTTTATGACTCGTGGACTTCCAACTCCCAGAATTCCTGAGCCAGCATGGGAGTTGAAGTCCATGAGTCATAAAAGAGCCAAGGTTGCCTACCCCTGATATAGGTTTATCATTTAGGGTTACCTGGTTATTTGATAAGCAATTCAATCTGTGCTGTCCAGTCCAATGTGACACCCTCGGATTGAGTTGTTACCCAAAGTGCTGAACCAACATCCTTTGTGCCTATCCACATCTGCGGTCCTACATATCTGTGGAATACCATATTGGAAAGGGCAAAACATTAAATCAATTTGCTTTGTGAAATACCAAAATTTGAGAGAGTAGTGTGAAATGTTTTCACACCATTTCCACTCCTGTTTTGTTTTTGTTTTTTACATTGACTTAACGATTTCCTCTAGACTATATCTTTGGTTTTTAATTCTTCACTCAGGAAGTTCTGCAAAGCAGAAAAAAAAAACCCTAGTGAACAGTAGACTGCAAAAAACTGTCTACTTACTAGACCAGTGATGGCGAACCTTTCAGACTGAGTGCCCAAACTGCAACCCAAAACCCACTTATGCATTAAGTGCTGGGTGGGCATGGCCAATTGGGTGGGCGTGGCTGCGGTGGTAACAGCAGACTGGGTGGGACTAAAAAGTTCAGTCAGTCAATCCCAACTTTGCAGGATCTTTTCTTTCCCCGCGAGAAGTTGAAATTGATTGAATCTTTTTTTTTTTTTTTGCACACGGCGGTGGAGGCCTAAAGCGAAAAGGTTTTATAAAACCCAGCTGACGGCCTAGGACTGGGGCGACGGCGTGTGTGCCCACAGAGAGGGCTCTGAGTGCCGCCTCTGGCACCCGTGCCATAGGTTCACCACCACTGTACTAGACTGATCCAGCTGCTCAGGCCAGAATGCTCAACCTCTATGTAACTGCACAACTGCAGAAGCAACGTGGAACCTGAAAATGTATTTCTAGTCCTTACACAAGTTCGGGAGGTGGGCTAATGTTAAGTTAAATAATTTTTACACAAATATGACTATCTGTATTTTTTTTTTAAAAAAAAACAACAACAGCAATACACTAACACCAATACAAACAAAAGGCCAAAGCTTTGCATGCACCCAAGAGGGCAAGGATCCTGCTGCTGAGGTAGGGCCTTTCTTATACAAATACCTTACCTAGTAAGGTCAGGAGCATAAAGTCAGGCCCGGAAGAGAACTCCCGTCATTCCTTATCCTTTTTTTTTTTTTTTTACAAGAGCTTGCTACAACACGGTGCTTCTGTAAAGGCTCCGCCTCGAAGTAGGTAACCCTGAGGTTTACTCGCTGACACTACAAGACTCTCTCGCCTTGTCGCATTTTGTGGCTGTTGCATTTTGTGGCTACCTGAGTCATGACTTCATAAAACCGTATCAGGTGGTGAGCGCTCTACTATTGAATGTTCTTACAGGCCTGTGCTGGTCAGAAAAGGCTTGCAGCCTCCCAACTTTTTTGCCTTTGAGGTGGTCCTCTTGTTTGGGTGAGAAGTCCTAGGTCAGGGGTAGGCAACCTTGGCTCTTTTAGGACTGGCTCAGAAATTCTGGGAGCTGAAGTCCACGAGTCATAAAAGAGCCAAGGTTGCCTACTCCTAGGTGATAGCTCTAAGGCAACCATTGGAAGCTCTCCCTGCAGGAGGCCTTGAAGGGCAAGTGCCAAAAAGGCAGAGAGGATGCTGCAGCACACTTCCTAGTGTGCTTTGAGACGGCGGGAGTTGCTACCAAACGAGACTGTGCCCCAGGGTAAGCAGTCTCTTCTGCTTGCTGCCCCCCCTCCCCCAGGTACTTTGATGAAAGCTAGGTGAGGACTCCAGCCGGGAAAGGAAAAAAGAAACCCCGACAAATTTCAAACAATTCCTTTTTACAGTATGTACAAAGTCCAAGAGGCAGCGGGTGGCCTCGCGCAACATACAGACAGGAATAGAAAGACAAGAGCTGGGAACTTGCACCGCTCAGACAGACCGACCGACCGCGCCCATTCCTGAAGAGTCAGCTTGGGAGGGCGGGACTTGGGCCCCTTACCATTCCAACTGACAGCTCTGCAGGAACCGGGGGTCAGATGGGTCCGTCAAGGACACTGGCAAGGGGTAGGGAATGAGAGACAGCCAGGCAGAGGTCCGGCAATGCATGGGGGGCTGGGGGGCATTTAGCAGGAGGGAACTGCTTCTTGCCTGCTTACCCGTGTAGAAGCTGCAACCGCAGCAGGGCTTTGCAGGGAGGGGGCTGGTGGCTAAATGTCAGCAAGGTCAAGCTTGGTTCTTTTCGAAACCGCAGGGCACAGCCAGCCCTCGCTTCATTCCTTGCCGAGAAGGGAGGGTTTTCCAGGTGTGGGGAAGGCCTGAAAAATCAAGCAGCTCTGCCCCAGACAACCGGGCCACGGCAGCAAGGCTTCCTTCCTCTGTGGAAAGGGCTGGGGAAGACAGGAGCGACAGGCACCCTTCAAGCAGAGAGGAGCGACTTGACTGCCGGGCCACGGTGGGGGCCCCGACAGAAGCAGGACCAGCCTGCCCGAAGGCCATGTGATCGGCAGTGCTGAGAGGTTGTTTTGTGCTGGGGAGCAAAGTTGCTGCTGCCTCGCAACACGCAAGTCCCGCCAGCAGGGAGAGGGCTTAGAAAAACGGCGGGTGGGACGGCCTTTCCGGGAGCAGCAGGCCCCAAGGCAAAGTGCTACAGAGACGTCCGGTAACCTTTTTCCTGACCGAGAAAGGCCAGCGTTGAGGCAGGAGAGCCTCGGGCTTCCGGGGCTCTTTGCGAGAGTCCACCTACCTGCTTGTGCCACGTGACTACTTCTCACCAATGAAAAGAATGGAGAAAGAGAACCCCAAACCCACCATCTGGACCTTCTCTTCCGCCAACTCTGGAATGGCTTTCTCGGCTGCAGCCCAGGAACCAGGGAGCCGCTGTGTGGGTGGAACGCGCAGCTCGTGCGCTCCTCCTCCCCAACGTTTTTTTTTTCCCCCAAAGGTCCTGCGATGTCACGCTGCTTCTTTCCCAGAAGAGTTCTGGAAAACGGCCAGTCGCCCCAAGTCAGATGAATAAATATTTCGGCAAGTCCCAGCTCCGTAACTCAACTCGTACGGGGCTCAGCGTGTGCTCAGTGGGGGGGAGGGGCAGAGTCTGCATCACACTGTGGCAGGACCGTCAGGCAGAACAATCAACGCCATTCAACTGGTGTCTAATGCAGTTTCCAGCGCTTCCTCATGTGAGCCGGTCACATGTCTTGGTACAGCCCGGGTTACCTTATCGGTCGTGTCCTGTTGGAAAGAGAAGAGAGAGAGGTCAGCAATCTCCGTCTCGGCCACAGGGTGGAGCCAGAGTCACAGCGGCTCGGAAGGTGGACCTGGCGGATCTCGCCTTCCCAACAGGAGAGGCGGGTGGGCTTAGAACAGACATGTCAAACACAAGGCCCGGGGGCCGGAGTGGTTTCATGTGGCCCTTGAAGCCATCCTGGAAACAGTGAGGGAATGGCCCCCCGCTGCCTTGGCCCTGGCCCAGGCCGGCCGGAAGCCAATGTACAATTTTGGGGTGGCCATCTATGCTAAAACGCATTCAGCCTTAGCTCCACAAGGCATCTGGAAACAGCGAGGAACCAGCCCCTGCCACATCGCCCGCGCCCCCTGGGTGCATGCTGGGGAGGGGTCACCCTTTGTGAGGAATGAAGAACAGGACCATGCCTTGGCGCTTGCCCCGGTCCCACCCCCTTCTGCCAGAGACCCCCAGATCTGTCCCACTCCTGCCCAGGCCCCTACTGGCACCCTTGACGCGAACGATGTAGAGCTGGCCACGCCCACCCAGTAGGCCACACCCACTTCATCCACGTCCACCCAGTTGGCCACACCCACCCAGGCCCCACCCAGGGCAACTGCAATGCTGATGCGGCCGTCAATGAAATTGAGTTTGACACCCCTGGCTTAGAACTAGGAAGTGGGCAGTTCCCTGGTAGAAAACCCACTACAAGCAATGCTAGCTAGTCTTACATCCATTGCCCAACTTCTAATTTTCATCAGAACCTAAGAATAGGAAAGCAGTCCCAAAGGTGCTTTTTCAAAGGGCAACTGGACTTTTTTTTTCTCTCTCTCTCTCCTTCCCCTCCTTGAAAACCTTTTGCTTCTCACCCAAGAACCTTCTTCAAATCTGGTCAAGTTCAAGAAAGAAAGAAAGACAGAAAGAAAGAAAGAAAGAAAGAAAGAAAGAAAGAAAGAAAGAAAGAAAGAAAGAAAGAAAGAAAGAAAGAAAGAAAGAAAGAAAGACCTCCAAGAAAGTCCAGCAGCCTCTTTGTTCCTCCCCACAGCCCCTGAGGCGGGTGTGTTGGGGTGTCCTTACCATTTTCACCTTCGGGGCGGGGGGTACAGGGAAGGAGCGGAACCTTGCTGACTGGCAACAATGGCTGTAGATGAAAGACCTGTAGAGGAACGGCAAAAGATATTCCCCCAAGACCATTAAAATCGCAAATGTGGGATGGGTGGCTATGTAAACTGAATCAATCCATCGAAATATAATACTGAATTTGGAATCCTCAGCCTCCCCCCCCCCATCAAATAACACCCCTCTACAGAAGTACCCCATCCCGTTCTCACCTGTTGCATAGGGCAGGTTATACTGGGCTGGGAGCAACGAGTAGCCCAAGTGGTGATGGTGGTGATGCGTAGACATCAGACGCTGTGAAGGGGAGGAGCGGGGCCGGTCCACACTTCTCTCGGCCCCACTGGCTCCCCCTACACTACTGCAGCCTGCGCTGTTTCCTCCTATCCCACAGCCGCTGCGCTCCTTCTCGCTTATCTGCACAGCAAGCAGAAAAACAGACAGTTTCAAGCCCAAGCGTGAATCTGTTAAGGAAGGGCAGGTTGTTGCCCTGCAATTGTCGGTTGGCTTTCTCCAGTCCCTGCAAACTCCAGCCACCAGGCACGACAAGTATCATATGCTCCAATCACGGGAGGATCCACGAGAGAAGAACCACAGGCTCCGCTCCAATCAGGGCAGGATCCACGAGAGAAGAGCCACAGGCTCCGCTCCAATCAGGGCAGGATCCACGAGAGAAGAGCCACAGGCTCCGCTCCAATCATAGCGGGATCCACGAGAGAAGAGCCACAGGCTCTGCTCCAATCAGGGCAGGATCCACGAGAGAAGAGCCACAGGCTCTGCCCCAATCAGGGCAGGATCCACGAGAGAAGAGCCACAGGCTCCGCTCCAATCATAGCGGGATCCACGAGAGAAGAGCCACAGGCTCTGCCCCAATCAGGGCAGGATCCACGAGAGAAGAGCCACAGGCTCCGCTCCAATCATAGCGGGATCCACGAGAGAAGAGCCACAGGCTCTGCCCCAATCAGGGCAGGATCCACGAGAGAAGAGCCACAGGCTCCGCTCCAATCATAGCGGGATCCACGAGAGAAGAGCCACAGGCTCTGCCCCAATCAGGGCAGGATCCACGAGAGAAGAGCCACAGGCTCCGCTCCAATCATAGCGGGATCCACGAGAGAAGAGCCACAGGCTCTGCCCCAATCAGGGCAGGATCCACGAGAGAAGAGCCACAGGCTCCGCTCCAATCATAGCGGGATCCACGAGAGAAGAGCCACAGGCTCTGCCCCAATCAGGGCAGGATCCACGAGAGAAGAGCCACAGGCTCCGCTCCAATCATAGCGGGATCCACGAGAGAAGAGCCACAGGCTCTGCCCCAATCAGGGCAGGATCCACGAGAGAAGAGCCACAGGCTCCGCTCCAATCATAGCGGGATCCACGAGAGAAGAGCCACAGGCTCTGCCCCAATCAGGGCAGGATCCACGAGAGAAGAGCCACAGGCTCTGCCCCAATCAGGGCAGGATCCACGAGAGAAGAGCCACAGGCTCCGCTCCAATCAGGGCAGGATCCACGAGAGAAGAGCCACAGGCTCTGCCCCAATCAGGGCAGGATCCACGAGAGAAGAGCTGTACGTTCTGAGCCAGGCTCAACCAAAAGGCCCGGCGTTGAGAACTGGTTAGTGCAGCCCCCCCACCAGCACTCACCGTTGGCGATTTGCTCTTGTAGTGGCTGGCGTGCTGCTGCAGGATGTCCAGGGCCTTGGATTCAGAGCTGGACTTACAGCCAATAATGGGACTAGCTCGGGATTTTTCGCTTTCCTCGCTTCCAGAGGATTTACTGCCGTAGGGGGAGAACGAGTAGCTGGAGGGTAGGTAAGAGCCTGTGGGAGAGACACCAGTCAGCATTTCTGCCCTGGGTTGGCCAGAAGAGCCAGCCTCCCAAGGGAACCAACTGACCATCACACATTCTACAGCAGTGGTTCTCAACCTTTTTAATGCCGCGACCCCCCAACCGGTCGTAAGTCGAGGACTACTCAACCGGTCGTAAGTCGAGGACTACTCAACTGGTGCAGCACCGTTTGCAGAACGGGACTTTTGGCGGGCTCAGCAGGGCAGAGACAGCCTGGACAATTCCTATGGGCTTTGGAAAGCCAATAGAATTAGACTCTGTTCAAGAGAGTCTCTTCTGTTGGCTTTCAAAAGCCAATAGAATAAAAGGGAGGAGCACAGCTAAGGAAAAGGGGGAAACAAATGGCGGACTGCGTTGTTTGGCGACCCCCGTGAAATGGTCGTTCGACCCCAAATGGGGTCCCGACCCACAGGTTGAGAACCACTGACTTAGAGCCTTCCCTCCTGATGCATGATAGAAATCACACGTAACCAACCACAGGGTTCCCTTTCAATTCCCCCTACCTGGATAGTTCTGCATCATGACGGTTGGCATGCCACGATAGCTGGAGTGGCTGGGGTCGTACGACTGACTGTAGGAATAGCCGTGCATGTAGGGGATGTAGGACTGGTGCTGGCTGAGGGGGGAGGACACGGGCACGTGGGTGCCGGATCTGGCTTCTTTCCCCACTAAGCGTGAGTCCTCGCTGGAAGGCATTTTGCAGTCAGAGTTGGTGCTCTCTTTCCCATCGTCCTTCACGATGGATTCTTTGCCACGGCTCCTCTCCTCCTTTAACTTTCGCTCCCTTTCTTCCTTCCACCGCTCATCCTCCATTTTGATGTCAGGGTATTTAGCGGGGTAAACGTAGGTCCACATGCGGGGTTCGGCCTCCTGCAGCAACATAGGGTTGAGTCAGTCAGGGGACTAGCAATTCCACAGCCCAGAACTCGCCATATTGGAAGCTGGGGGAAGCGCAGGTGGAGTATTTGAAAAATAAGAGTCCATGGAAGCAATTCTGTATTCACACGGATCCCTCCCACCTTGTAAAAGTTGTACCTCTGGGCTTTGTGGGTTTCCACCTACCATTCAAATCCCTCTCTGAAGCATCGCATAACAATTCACCCAAATTCTTAAATTCTAGTTACATTAGCAAGCAGAAGTAAATATATATTATAAATGGTTCATTCCTATTGATTAGTGTTACTTCATTTATTACCACTGGCCTACTTTATTAAGACCGATCAGCAAGCTAAACACATCTCATTCACAGTGAGCTGGCCCAGCTTTCGAAGCACTGATCAAAGTAAGACAAAAGCTACACAATTCTTATGCCTTTTCTGCTGTGTGCATCCCTAAACATCTATTTGGCTGTCCAAAAATTAAACATTAATGTGGGTGGGGTGGGGGTGGGAGTGATTAAATACCATCCAGGGTGAATTAAATACCAACAAATCTGAACCAACCAACTATAGTTGCTCTAGCCCAGGGGTAGGCAACCTTGGCTCTTTTATGACTCGTGGACTTCAACTCCCAGAATTCCTGAGACAGCTATGCTGAGGAGAAAGGGAGAGGTTTCCAAGCTGAGTCATGCTGGCTCAGGAATTCTGGGAGTTGAAGTCCACGAGTCAAAAAAGAGCCAAGGTTGCCTACCCCTGCTCTAGTCATACTTATTTTGGCAGAGATTCCAAGATCCCTAACTCGGGAAACCAAACAAGCATCCACATTAATGCTCTTCTCACTTCCTCTCCGTGTAGTTTTCTGGACCCAGAAATCAGCCAGTTTGACAACAGCCCTCCCAGTTCACCCACCCAGCATCCTCCTCTTCGTTTACCTGTCTGTACCAAAGCACTGGGTCCACCTCAGCCTGACGACCGCAGTCCAAACCCGCCTTGGAGTCTGCCGTCTCTTTGCCAAGATGGCTTTCATTTAATTTCCCCTTCAGACCTTCTATAGTCTGGCCTTGGAGTTTTGTGGAGTCCTCTAACTTGGGGATAATGACCGACTTGGCTACATCGCTTCCCTGATCCTTGGCCTTATTGAGTCCAGGTTTGACCAGGTCAGTTAAGCTGGGTGCTTTGGTCAGAGTGGGTGGGAGAGAAGTCTTCTGCTTCCACTCCTCCTTGAGGACCACCTCTCTTTCCTTCAGTCCCAGATCCAACTTCTTCTCCAGCCCGCGCTGCTGCTGCTCCAGACTCTGGCGCTGCTTCTGCTGATCTTCGTACTGTTGCCGATAGGCTGGGTTGGTGCTGAGCAGGTGCGCATGATAGCCTTGCTCACTGTAGCCGTAGGGAGGCACGTAGGCATATTGGTTGTAATAGAGCGACTGCATGTACATGTTGGACCTCTGCTGTATGACGGACGGCTGCTGGCTTGAGGGACCCAGCTCTGCCTTCTTCTCCTCACAAGTCTCATTCTTCTCCTTCACCTCCGGGCTCGGTGGCTCGTCATCTTTCTTCAGCTTCAGTGCCTGGCTCTCTATGGACGTCTGGTTGATGGGGTTAATGGGGCTGGGACTCGACTGGGCGTAACCTGGTGAATAGTAGGCCTCAAAACCTTGATAGTAAGGAGATTCCTTGTTCTGAGGCTGAGAAGGAAAGAGGGCTTTCTTGGCCCCTTCCTTGGCCATCGGATCCGGGTCCTTGACCTTCATGCTCTCCAGCTTCCCTTCCCCATCCTCCCCTGCATCGGAGATGTCAGAGTAGGCCGGGCTATTCGTTTTCACAGAGCTGGCTTCGGCCCCGTTGTGGGTGACCACATGAAGTGGAGTCATGGGCTGTGTGGGTGCCGTGCTCTCTAGCCGGCTGGCTCCCCCGATGGATGGGCTTGGGGCATTGTCAGTGAAGCTGTAGATTTTATCCGCCTCGGCTTTAATGCTGGCCAGGCGGCTCTGGTGGGGGTCAGAGGAACCGTTGAGAAGGCTCTCTCCCTTCACCCCCGGATCACTGGGCTCCCCACGGAAGGGACTCTTGCCTTCCTCAGCCCGACCCCCTGTCCCAGGAGTCAAGGGGCTCTCCGCTTCCTTGGGCTCTTTTTTTTTCTTGTCCTTCTTTTTCTTGTCCTTGACAGGGGTCAGTGTCGGGCTGACGGCGAAAGGCTCACCCATTACCGTTGGCTTAGGCTGAATGGGCTTCAACTGGGGGCTGTTAGGCATGGCCTGAACCACAGTTGTGGTGAGACCTGTGGAGGAGCCAGGGCTAGCAGCAGTGAACGTGGCTGCCTGAAAAGTGTAGATCTGGGGTGGAATGGCTGGGGCTATGGGCCGGGCAGACTTGATGCTCTTTGAGGTGATCTTCTCGGGCTTGATGCTAACCAGTTTTTTCGTTTTTTCCTTGTCACTGCTCCTCTTCTCTACGGAGTCAAAGCCGTCATTGCTCGTCTCATCGGGTATCAAAGGGCCGTCCTCAGAACCGTCATTAGAAAGAGCACTGGAATCGGGATCTCCTTCGGCACCTAATTTCTTCTTGCAAGTAGCTTTGAGGTTGAACTTGTTGGATGAGGAGGGGCTGTGTGGTTCTATCAGCCGCACTTTAGGAGTAGTTGAACGGGCCGGCGAAAGAGAGCCCTTCTGGCTACCGGAAGCACCATTGCAGTTGCTCAAGTCGGCTGGGAGAGAGGATTCCTCTCCATACTCACTATCCCCGTCAGCCTCGGGCTTGCTGTCATCATCCGTGTGTGCGTGGGCCTGGTGATACTTGAGTCCATTAATGTGCTTGTATTTTTTGCTGCAGTTAGGATGGGGGCAGTCAATGAGGATAGGAGAGGGGCAGTTCCTATCCAAAATGGCAGGCTCCACTTTGATGGTGGTGGTGGTGGCGGCGGCGGCGGCAGCCGCCGCCGCCGCAACTAAAGGCGTCGCCGTTGAGCCCATGGAGTTTGTGCGAGCACGTTTGCTTCCCTTTGAGTCCTCAGAACTGGAATTCACTTCCAGATCAGAGAGAGGCTTGCTCTTTCGCTTGGTCACGGATGAAGGACTGGCCTTGACCTCCTCCGAAGTGCCGCTGGGGGGGAGGCGGTGCTCCGAGGAGTTCTGGCTGCCTCGGCGTCCTTTGCTGTTGGTCCCTGCCCGAGTCTTGCTGCTATTGCTGGAGCCTTTGGTATCTGAGACTGTTGTGCTTTCGGTCATTGGTGGGTTGCTACTGGGACGCACGCGCTTGCCTCTCCCTCGGCCGTTCCGCATCTCCAGGTCGCTGGTGGGAGAGTCGCAGAATCTAGGAGGCAGGAGAGCAGACGTTAAGAAGAAGCTTTGAGTTTAGCCCTTGAGCCATTCTCTGACTCCCTATCTCCCAAAGCTAAAATGTTAGCGCCAAGGCAGTGGTGGGATCCTAGGCAAGCTCAGACCGGACTTTCCCAGCTTTTAGCACCTTCTCTCTAGCATTCAGAGACAAAAAGAGGTTTCAGAAAAAGCACAGTCCCCCCTCTGACAGTCGTTGAACAATCCATTAGCTAACCTTTCCCAATTCCTCTTAGTAGTTCAACAAAAAGGTACACAACAGTTACTCAGCTGAGATACACTACTGACTGGTTTTCTAGGTAGAAGTTGCCTTGCCAGCTTTCTACGAAAAAAAATGAGAAGGCTGATTACCCCAGGTACGTTTTCTTCAAAACCTGTAGCTGCTTGAGTTCTTATGTCACATTGATTTTTTTTTAAAAAAAAGTGCTGCAAGAGGAAGAAAATGCACAGGCCGAGAGTTTCTCAATATTCCCTAAAATTATAGAGTCTTTTCCCTAGCAGACTCTCCTCTCACCCCGCCTACAGCTCATGAATGAGCACATAATATCAGCACACAACACAGAGAGTCTCTTCATCTGGTTATTTTACCTGGGTGGTGCCCAGTCATGTTGTGTGCAATCCAGCAGCGTACCCACATATGTCTTATTCCTCCAGGTAACATTCACCACCAGCATGCCTGTGAGGAGGAAGAAGAGGATGGTGAGTGCCCGGGTCTTTGGGGACAGCAACAGTTTCCCACCCTTTTTCCATCGTTCTCAACCACAGTGCAAAAAATATCCTGCCAAACAAGTCAGAACAAGTGTGGGTGGTGACTAAAATTCTATGCAGCTACTAAAATCTATTCTGGGTAGCTAAGTCAGCAGGAGAACCTAGACCAGGGGTGTCAAACTCAATTTCATTGGGGGCCGCATCAGCACTGCACTTGCCCTCGGGGCCGGGTGGGTGTGGCCTACTGGGTGGGCGTGGATGGAGTGGGCGTGGCCAGCTCTACGTCATTCGCATCAAGGGGGCCTGTGGGGGCCTGGGCAGGACTGGGACAGATCTGAGGGTCTCTGGCAGAAGGGGGTGGGACCAGGGCAAGTGCCAAGGCATGGTCCACTGGAGGAGCCTCACTGTTCCTCTCAGGCCACGTGAGGGGGGGCTGGATGGTGGCGCGGGCTGCCCGGAGCCCTGGTCAGCAGAGGTCAAACTCCCAGCCTGGCCCTTGAGCATCCACAGCCCCAAGCCCAGCCCCACTTCCCCAAGGGGGCGCCCAGCTGCTCTTACCTCCTCCTCCTCAAGGCTGCTGCTGCTGTGCTTGCTCTCCTTAGCCAGGTTGCTCATGATGGGTACCAGGGCAGAGTCAGAGGGAGACCCATTCCCTCTCCACGGGAGGAGCCCCGGCTTTGTATCCAAAGCTTCCTTAGCAATAGGATGGGAGACCCCCAGGATAGGCCAGGAGGAGGGGGCAAGGGGATGGTGAAAGGGCAGCAGGGCAGGATTTCCCTCAGACCCTCCCTCTCCTTCTTTCCTTCCTTCTTTCCTGAGGACAGAGTGGTGGGAAAATATCTGAGATGAGGGAGGAAGAAAAACAGACAAGAAACGCGGCTGGGGAGGGGTCGCCCTTCGTGAGGAATGAAGAAATGCACCATCGCCTGGAAGTGGCCAGCGCGATGGTGCATTTCTTCATTCCTCACAAAGGGTGACACCTCCCCAGCATGCACCCAGGGGGCGGGGGCAACGCGGCAGGGGCTGGTTCCTCGCTGTTTCCAGACGGCCTTGTGGAGCTAAAGCTGAATGCGTTTCAGCATAGATGGCCACCACAAAATTGTACATTGGCTCCCAGCCAGCCTGGGCCAGGGCCAAGGCAGTGGGGGCCGGTCCCTCACTGTTTCCAGGATGGCTTCGCGGGCCACATGGAACCACTTTGCGGGCCTCATCCAGCCCCCGGGCCTTGTGTTTGACATGTCTGACCTAGACAATATTTGCTTTGGGCTTCATAACTACTTATTTCTTTCATATAGGAAGATCCTCCCCGCTCGAAAAGCTACTGGCTGCAAAAACTACAGACCAGACTCATAATGTTGTTGAGCTTGGATAAACATAAAGACATTTTGGCAATAACGTCAAGAAAATGGCAAGGATACGGTCACGCGGAATCAATTCTGACTCAAAAAGCATTTTTACCCATCGACCTTGATGGGGGTGAGGGTGGGGGGGTAACATAAATAAGAGATGTTTTTGATCAAGCCAAAAGCCAAGCTGGTTCAGCAATTTTTTTCCATCGTGTTCAATCAAGTGCACCTTTGGAAGTTTTTAGAACACAACCCTTTTTGCAATAATGCAACTGGTAGTGAGGAACACTGTCAAGATGTTAGATAGCCACCCTATCTATTAATTGTAGTGAGTTTTGCAGATAGCTTCTCCTGGTACAGACTTCAATGATCACTTAGATCAGTGGGTCTCAACCTGTGGGTTGGGACCCCATTTGGGGTCGAACGACCATTTCACAGGGGTCGCCAAACCACACAGTCCGCCATTTTTTCCCCCTTTTCCTTAGCTGTGCTACTCCCTTTTATTCTATTGGCTTTTGAAAGCCAATAGAATAGACTCTCTTGAATAGAGTCTAATTCTATTGCCTTTCAAAAGCCAGTAGGAATTGTCCAGGCTGTCTCTGCCCTGCTGAGCCCGCCAAAAGTCCCATTCTGCAAACGGTGCTGCACCAGTTGAGTAGTCCTCAACTTATGACGGTAGAGTAATCCTCGACTTACGGCCGGTTTTGGGGGGGGGGTCGCGGCATTAAAAAGGTTGAGAACCACTGCCTTAGATTATCTTGGGATACCTGCTCTCTGGAGAGTAACCCCAGAATTGGAGACCCTAGCCGATCCCTTATCCATAAACAAACCCATAAATCGTCTATTTTTAATCCTGGTGTATTGATATAATTATTTTCAAGATCTTACAGTAGAAGTCCAAATAGTCCTAATTTGTCTAGTTCTTTAATTAGTTTATAATTTTCTTGGATCAGGCTGGGAAAGTGGTTATCATGCATGACTCTGCTTTTCTTCATCAGTTCGTAGCAACCACAGTGAGTCAAACCAGTTCTTCAAGGTAATAGGATGATTAATCCTCTTTACAGTAGACTACTTACATTTCTCTTATGGTTTGCCATTCTAGGATAACTGCCTTTGGGGGTGGTGCTCTCTGCTGAAGTGGATCAGCAAAATCTACCTTGACTGCTCAGACACTACCACAGCGGTTCTCAACCTGTGGGTCGGGACCCCATTTGGGGTCGAACGACCATTTCACGGGGGTCGCCAACCAAGCAGTCCGCCATTTTTTCCCCCTTTTCCTTAGCTGTGCTACTCCCTTCTATTCTATTGGCTTTTGAATGCCAATAGAATAGACTCTCTTGAACAGAGTCTAATTCTATTGGCTTTCAAAAGCCAATAGGAATTGTCCAGGCTGTCTCTGCCCTGCTGAGCCCACCAAAAGTCCCAATCTGCAAACGGTGCTGCACCAGTTGAGTAGTCCTCGACTTATGACCGGTTGAGTAGTCCTCGACTTACAACCGGTTGGGGGGTCGCGGCATTAAAAAGGTTGAGAGCCACTGCACTACCAGGTCATTTTGAGCTGTCCAAGTCAGTATCCCTCCATCCTGAGAAACAATGATAGTCTCCTTTTCCTACTATTTGACTAGCTACTGTTCATAAAAGGGCCTGAAGAGGCTAATGGGAGAGATAATATGACCTCCTTACGTTCCTATGTTCTTTTGGTGCAAGTATACAAACAACAGCCACATGTGGTACTCATCTACTCTCTATATTGCCAGCCTTTCCTAAACTACTGTTCAAAAAAATCAGAACTAGTGAGGTCTCATAATGAAAGACAAAGCATCTCCAGCCACAAGTTTCCTGTTATCAAAAAAAACAAAGCCCTCCACTGAGTCCTAGTTCATATTTTACATATACGTTAAGATCCATATACTGAAAACTAATTTTCATCTGAACAATTTCTTATGAAATAAATACATATCTGTTTACCAGGACCAGTCACAGAATTTGGATTTCTATCCTGAAGATTTTGAACAGGGTCTTGGTCAGAAAACGATTGCATCCTATAATATCAGACGTTAGCAGAATTTAATTCAAACAGGCATTCCTTCCAATGACTACCTGCCCTGATTTTATCACAAAATCGCAGGTGTGCTCATGCAAGAATCTGGGAAAGCAATGTGGGCAAATCTCTAACCCTTTGGGGAGATTAGAGAGAACAATTTAGAATGGGAAGAATGCAAAACAATCTAGAGCAGTAAGATCAGTAGCACCTGCTTCAGTCATAACTTCTGTTTTTTTCAGAAATTAACTATGTTATTAAAAAAAACTAGTATCTCTCTCTCTCTCAAGCCAAATCCTAGTCTACACTACAAAATTCTTTTTCTTTGGACAAAAATCTTCCCAGATATAGAAAACTGATATTAGCATGTTCTAATACAGTGGTTCTCAACCTGTGGGTCGGGACCCCATTTGGGGTCAAACGACCATTTCACGGGGGTCGCCGAACAACGCAGTCCGCCATTTTTTTCCCCTTTTCCTTAGTTGTGCTACTCCCTTTTATTCTATTGGCTTTTGAAAGCCAATAGAATAGACTCTCTTGAATAGAGTCTAATTCTATTGGCTTTCCAAAGCCAATAGGAATTGTCCAGGCTGTTTCTGCCCTGCTGAGCCCGCCAAAAGTCCCATTCTGCAAACGGTGCTGCACCAGCTGAGTAGTCCTCGACTTACGACCAGTTGGGGGTCGCGGCATTAAAAAGGTTGAGAACCACTGTTCTAATATTAGCCAAAATAGTACAGAAAAGAAACAATACGAATCAGAGCAACTTCCAGGAAATAAGGTAAAAACAAAAGCAGGTTGGACCACATTTGAAATACAAAATAATACTTTTCTTTTAAATTAATATTAACGAGCAAAAGTTGTTTTGTATGCTTTGAAATATTTAGAAAATGTCTCTCTTCCACCAAAAATCATCCTGTTTTGTTAACTCACACACTGTTCATATATTCATAGGAAATTACTGTGTCTGTTCAGCAGTTAATGATTTACAGACCTGATTAGCCCAGTAAGAGTGGCCGATTACTAGAAATGACAAGAAGGTTATCTCAACATGGCTGTAGCTTCAATCATGTTGCCCTCTGCTTCAGCTTCTGTAGATATTTCACCCTGAAAACCTTTCTTAAGTTTTGCAGGATTGGACTGGGAAGATAATGGAAAATGATTCCTTCGCCATGAAGCAAAGCACATGTGGGTATACATTCCGGTGTTTGTGCTTTATGCAGAAAGCAAGCTGGCAATATGTGGTGTTGCAAGCACTCAAGTGGGCTGTGTAACACATACCGGACGACTTTGGGCCAGTCGCTCTCTCTCTCAGCCCAATCCACCTCACAGGAGTGTTGTTGTGGGGAAAACAGGAAGGAGGAGTATTGTGTGTGTTCACCGCCTTCTTGAGTTTTTTTTTTTGTAAAAAATAATAAAGGCGGGATATAAATAAGATCAATAAATAAAATTCTCTCCAATAAAATTCTCAGGCAGAATTACTGTATTACTCGAGTGGTAGTACAGCAGAGAAAAAAAGGAGACAGCTTTGAATAATGGGCAGATGGACTTGGAGACTTAAGTTCTGTAATACCAGGATGGATT